GACCAAAGTTTAAGACACTTACAAACTACCTTGACTTTTCAGACCTTGAGGCTACGACCAACAAAAGGCTTCTGGTCCATCCACTATATATGGATGCGTCACATGTGAGTAGGAAGAACTAACCTTATGTCCTTATTTTACCAGCTCTGGACCAGAGAATGCAACCAATCCAGTTGTTTTTGCCAATTGAAATAGCTTTAAAGGACCAATTCACTTCATATGATGCAGTTTTACACCTGACAAAAAGCGACCACAGCCCTACACTGTGACTGAAATGTTATTGTTGCATCAAGTCGGCATATCGCTCACCTCGCCTTCTCCATCAACGCTGAGTACCATCATTTCTGTGCAAGGTGACTCGACACTCATCAGTGAACAGGACGGTAGACCACTGCTGCATTGTCCAGGTCACATGGTCTTATGCCCACTGCAAACATTCACGGCGGGGTCTTGGTGTCAGTGAAGTCACCTGCAATGGTCGTCTGGCATTCAAGCCAAAGCGGTGGAGTCGGTTGCCAATGGTTTGTCTGGAAACCCTAGTACCCCTCACATCTCGTAAACGCGCCTGCAGCTCTGTGGCACTTGCATAGTGATGTCTGAGTGCATAGGTCCTGAGGTACTGGTCATCGTTGCGGTCGGTCACTCTTGGGGCCCCACTCCTGGGTCTGTCACGAACTGTACCAGTAGTTCTATGTCTTGATGCAAGTCTGCTGATGACACTTTGAGACACACCAAGTTCACGAGCAACATCAGACTGCCTGCCACTGACTCGAAGGCGTGCTATGGCCAGGTGGTGCTGCTTGTCTGTTAAGTGACGTCGTGTGTTCATGGCTTTTTGAACGATGAACTTGAAATGACTTACTGACAATACCAGCTTTTTATACCCACAGAATGTGGAAATTGGTGCCACACTGAAAAGGGTTGTCTTTTAGTTTTTTGGTATTGGCCCCAATATGTAAGGCACACTGTACACAGTGAGACCATTACATGGAAAACACAAACTGAGGTGTGTCTATCACCCCAATACAATAGCCTCCCTGTCCCAGAAATCTCTGAAGTGAAACCAAGACTGTATGTATGAAATCCACTGAGTCTCTCACAATATCCCTAACTTTTCGTGAGTGGTGTATTTGGTTACAAGAAACACAAGACAGACTTTTTACTCTCACTATGGTTTTGTGGATTTGAACTTTGCGACATTTTCATCCAGATAAAAGCAGCTGTAGTTGTGCATAAAGCTTCAACAAGAAGTGTGAATTATCACATTTTTGGCACATTTGTTTAAAATTTGATCTGATCACAATCGTGTTATTTTCTTGTTTTTATAAAACTAAATCTAGATTAGTGCAGCTTTAAGTCCAAGGCTACAGAAATGCCTCCCTCCCCTCCAGCTGTGGCCCCATGATACCTCTCACCTCCACCAGCACATGATCCGAGCAGGATATGTGCTCCTTACTTGTAGTTTGAACCTCTACACGCGGCCTGAATTTCCTGTTTTGAGGAAGATCAAGCCCTGAAATGCACAATCATCAAAATCCCCGGACAGTGACTCAGTAGGTTGAAATCGGCGGAGTCGGTGGCGGCGTGGTTCGGTCTCCTCCTCAAGGGCAGCGCAGTGTCTGTCTCTCTCTCTCTCTCCGGAGCGCCTGTTTTTCACATCGTGTACCTTTAAAAGGTTGAACCCGGCGGTCTGCGAGCAGCGGATTGTGCCTCCACTCGGCTCAGCTGTGTCTACCTTCCAGCAGTGACATGGCACAGAGGCTGTGAGCTGCCAGCAGCAGCAGCAGCAGCAGCATCCTGCGCCATGGACGCGCTCCGACGGCCGAAGCGGAGCGCAGCGCTGGACGCGATCATGATACCCATGTGGATATTACTGAGCTCGTTGTCGGGACTGAAGGCGGACGACGACGTAATGGAAGAACTTGCCACCGAAAAGGAGGCTGAGGAAAGTCACCGACAGGACAGCGTCAATTTGCTGACATTCATCTTACTGCTGACCTTAACGATCCTCACCATATGGCTCTTCAAGCACAGGCGGGTTCGCTTCCTTCACGAAACCGGGCTGGCAATGATTTACGGTGAGGCTTACAGATTATATTCTGGATACACACACACACACACGCACACATTGATGCATGCACACACTCTCTCTCCTTCACACCACCACCACCTTCCCGCAGGCTTTGCATGATTCAGTCTCCCTTGTGGGTTACACGGCGGCTGCACGGAGGCGATGAGAAGATAAACCTGAGGACGCAAAGATGATTTAAGTCTGAATAAAGGCACCGACGCGCCTCCGCATTTCCACCAGCTCACATTGCTCCTAATTGGCTGGGCCAGTGCTAATTTCTAGAAGGTGCTTTGGGTTTGCTCAGCCTCGTCTGCTCTCCACTATGCTGCTGCATGGGAAGCTTTACCCCTGGCTGACTGGGAATCAGTTCTCTGACATGCAGCCGTTTAAACATGGTATTACATAATGCATACTATACTGTTTTATCTCCTATGACACCACAATAATACGAAAATACACCTTATGCAGCTGTTGTGAGAGAATATTTGGGGAATATCCATCTGAAATGTTCTATACAGTCACCATATGTTCTATTATAACATTTGTTTTAGCATCCTTCAAGCTCTGATAGTACTTATTAGGTAAAGGTGATGGGAAAACACTTAAAATATGTGGTTGGTTTGCTACTCAGAGTGCTTTAAGGTTAAATTTCACCAACAAGCTACAAAAAAAGACATTAGAAGGCCACAAAATTAGAAAATCAAACACTTGTCAGTCTGGATGGATGTCATCAGCTGGGTTCTGAGTGTATTTCTGTGCCAGTGAGTTCATTATTCCTACAGGGACATTTATATAGGCTAAGTATGGATGTTCGCAGAATGCACTCATGTAATGCACACTATCTAATTTAAACAAATGAAGAGAAATTAACTGTGAAATCAGCAAAGATCAGCCTGCTTTCCAAGCATATAAATTCATGTAACTAATCTAAATCTCATTGATTCAATGGTACAAACAGTTAGAAACCCCTCGCAGGAACGCATGCCAAGCCAACCTGAAAATAATGTCTCAGGGCCACATGAAGAATTTAGCTGTGCCACATCTGTGCTGCGTCTTTCTTCGTGGCTTATCAGCGTGATCCCAGTCAGTCGGTGCTATGAATGTCACTTATTAACCAGACATCTCAACATGAAAAAGGCAGACTTTGATTTGTTTTTTTGGTGCTTTAAAAGCAAACTACTCTTTGGTGGTTTTCCAACTACGCTGCCTGTTTTGCTTTCCAGCTCCACAAATACAAACCATGTGCTCCAGCAGGACCAGGCAGGAGGTCAAACAAGGAAACTGACAGTAATAATAAAGCTGAAATTTAGTATTTACAGAGGTGGGAACATAATTAGCAAAAATAGAGCTTGTGTGCGCACTTTTATATGTACAATAAGACAGACTGAGTCATTATCTAGATCATTATCTCGCTAGAATTGCTCCCAGAGCGATTGTTTTTGGTTAGTTCAGTGAGACATAATGATGTTTAAATCTGCACCATGCAAAATCAGACTGTTTATGTGTTGGACGCTCAACAGTATAAAAATGCTGCCAAGTAGAAACCTCATTGCAGCTTTGACTCGCTGCACGAAGAGCAGCCTCTGCTGAAAAAATAGTTTTTTTCATGTCTGTGTAGATTCTCGGTAATCCAGGTCACGATAATCCTAAAGGTGCTTAAGCAAAAGCCACCTAGACTTCTTTTTCACTCTTTAAGATGTTTCATCTCTCATCCAAGATGCTTCCTCAGTTCTAACTGACTGGTGGGGAGCTCCATACATGTATTGAAGGCCACCTGAAGTCCAGTTGTTTTCTACTTTGGCACCTAGGACTTGTTTTTTCCTGTTTTCAAATGCCCGTTTTCCTTTGTGGTACTTCCTTGTTAGGATCCATGGAAAGAACCTAAAATTTCTGCAATCTGACTTAGTATACTTGGCTAGAAAACGAAACAACAAGTGGTTAAATCTGTCCCTGAAATAAACCACCTTCTGCATGTGTTTGTGTGTGTGGTTAGGCCAAAGCCAGAGTGTGATGTTCATGATTAACCCTGTCTCAGAAACAACCAGCGAGTCCAGCGCTGGTAGCTCTGCTTTGCCATGTCTCCTGCAGATAACTGCCGTCTGATAGGAGGATTTATGTCCTCTAACTGCCTGCCTCATTCCTTTTCTTCCTGGCTGTAGCTCTCTCCACGAGATTCTGCTTATCATCCCCTCATTTTTCTTTCTTTGCTCGGCTGCTCGCTGTGTGTCACTGCCTGATCCTCGTAAAGCACAAGCACCTGGGAAACTGTCTGCTGCTGAGCTAATGATTTCTTTGGTGACATTTAGTTCTGGATAATTGTGGATTCTTTGCCTCACATTCATTAGCTGATTAATTGTAAAGGTTACACAAATGTTTTTTTTTTCTGTCTTCTCAGGGTTGCTAGTAGGTGTGATTCTGCGTTATGGCATTCCTGCAACCAGCTACCACCATAAGACGCCTCCAAGCTGCTCACTGAAGGAAGGACCTGCCAGCACCCTGCTGCTTAATGTCAGCGGCAAGTTCTTTGAGTACACCCTCAAAGGGGAGATCAACTCCAGAGAGATTCACAATGTGGAGCAGAATGATATGTTGCGCAAGGTAACAGTAAAAAAATAAAAAAATAAAAAAAAAAGAGAAAGAGAAAAAAATTCTGTTCTGCATTTCTGCCACATTCACCTTGTTAACTCTAAATTGATTGTCTTTTCCAGGTGACCTTTGACCCTGAGGTGTTTTTCAACATACTGCTGCCTCCAATCATTTTCCATGCTGGGTACAGTCTAAAGAAGGTGAGACGTCACATGCTGAGTTTGTGAGCGTTCTAAAGGTGAACTGACATTGCGTGACGTGATGTCGAAGGACCAGGTGGACTTATCTGTTGCCACAAACTGCTGTTTTTATTGGACAGATGGTTAGCTAAGAAAAAACTCACTGGCCAGACTGTGAGTGCGTTCAGTGTTTTCTGAACATAAGTGGCCCTTTTGAGGGGAAGTCCAGAGCAGATGTCTTTCGTTTCCTCTCGGCATTCTCGCTGGCACAGAAAAAACGGCTGACGCTGACAATATGAGCAGTTTCTGCTTTTGATTGTTGTAAAGTGTACTCTAGGGTCTTATAACAGACAAGGTTTTGTCAAGAGAGTCCTTGGATGGCTCTGAATTTTCACTACTCATCCATCACTGTATTTACAGTGTGTGAATTTCAAGTACGGCAGGTTGGTCTTTTTATGCATGAAGATTGGGTGTTGTGTCGATGCTTTAATGTTCTGACCTTGAAATAATGGAGACTGAAATGTGTTTAAGCAGCTGCTGACATTTGATCTATGGTCTTAATGTGAGGGCATCCATATCCGATTATACAGTGATAAATCATATCAAGGAGAAGTTAGATGAATGAGGGGAAATGGCCTTCTGCTTTGCTACTGTGCAGACAGGAGTCTGACAATGGTTTATAGTGAAGTGGTTGATCAGTAATTTAGTTTGTAGCAATGATAGGGGTGTAGCTCTGATGGTGGCAATGATGGGCACTTGGATGGATGATCCTTACAGAAATGTCTGATCAACTGCAACTGGTGATCAAAAACTTCTGAGACTCGACCTAAGTTAAATCCAAAACTGCATCTGATTTAAATAAATAAATGGCAACCGTCCCATTCAAAGCTGTCTCGTTTGGCAGCATTTAAATGCTCCCAGGGCTTCTTCAACACTTGTAATAGTTCCTGAAAGTCCCATGATATAAACATGTACACCACAACCTGTGATAAGTGCTGGATCTTCTATATTGTATCAAAATGATGACTCCTCAACTTATATTCCATTTTCGGGAAGAGAAAGAAGTTGCAGGAAGCAAAATCTAACCAGTAAGGCGGGTGGGGAGCAATGATTGTGTTGTTGTGGTCAAAAAAAACCTGTGCATAATTACCATACTATGGTTGGGTGTGCCACACATTGCAACTCCCACATGGCATCAAGCCACAGTTCAGGTCGTTCACACTGAATGTTCTTCCTCAAACACCCTCAGGACATTACAGTGGAACTCTGCCTTGACAGTCCAATGTAATTCCTGTTGCACAACCACGTGAATGCTGCAGAAAACGGCGCACATGCTCCTGGTGTTCTTCTGATGTACCTTGTCTGGTCTTGGAGGCTTTGTCTAGTTTTGGAGACTGCAGCACTTTCACTGCGAAAACACCTGTGTTATCTGTCAGTGGTAGCTGCAGACCAACCTCTCATCATTGGTGATGATCCTCCACATAATGGTCGATCATCCAAATGCTGACTAAACTAGAATGTGACATTTTCTTCTCTGATCCACTTTGAGGTCAATGGAGAAATTGCAAATGCACACCTACCAGTGTTCACAAAAATATGATGAACACAGGTCCCACTGTTGAAAGAACTGTTTCATGCAGCTCACTCGTGTTGTACATGAATGACCACGAAACACCAACACTTTTGATTAGCCCTTGTGTGTAATGGATTGCCATGAAAGTTTATACTTATATAATGCATTTTGTGCTCACTTGGCTTTTCCTGTAGTGCTGCCAGCAGGTCAAAGTTTTAACTTATCTTGTGAAACATCGACAAGATGATTTGGGCCACAAAAAATGTACAGGCCTCATGGTTGTCAGAGGATGAATCCCACTGTGTTTAATATTGTTTTCACTGCTCCATTTTTTTTTTAGCACCACCAAGCAGTGAACTTTCAGGGTGAAGACTGAAATGTCTCAACAATTTCTGACTGGATTGTAACGAAATCTGGTCCAGACATTCATGTTCCCCACAGGATGAATTGCACTGACTTTTGTGGTCATTTAATGCCATCATCATGACCAAGTACTTGCAAAAATCATGATACGTCCATCAGCCTTAACTGTACTTTCTGCTAATTAGCAACAATATAGCATTATAGCACAGTAAGCTAAAGATGGTGATACTCAACACTAGCATATCATCATTGTTATTTTGATTATGTTGCCCTCTTAAATTTAGCATTTAGCTCAAAGAAGTACTTTCTTGCAGAGTTTCTGGTTTGGCTGTACACTTGTCATCATGCTAATATGTACAGCAAGTCCTGCTGTCAATGATTGTTTAACTGCTGTGTAGCCCTACAACCCCAAGGGTATTTTCAGAGTAATTACACTACCTTTATTTTTTTTTTTTAGCTCTCATCTTGGTAAAAATTAGAGCTAGCCATACATACTATGTCCTAATTTTTCCAGAACTGTCAATGCTAACAGACCTGCCATCCTTTGATATGATATTTTTTTATATTAGCCTTTATATCAAGGAAAATAAATATTTTGTATTAAAAACCATTATGCCTCATGATGCATAATACATATATCTCATTATAAAATACTGGCAGTAGAGATATGTTTTCTTCACTGTGTTGGGGAGATTGTTTGGAATTTGCCAATAACCATAATTATGGGATGATTGTGATTATTTTTCTCACCGAAGTGTTCACATGCAAACCAGGCAGATGATTAAATGTGATGTAAATTCTGAATTCTTTTGTCTCGCCAGGACTTTATTGCACTGATGAGCAGTTAGCGTTGTTGGAAAGTGAATTTGTCTGACTCTAAGGGTTCATCAAGGTGATGCCAGATTACTTATTTTGTCGTGCCAGTGGGGTCCACAACTCTACAGTGTTCAATTTACAATCATGTAAGACATAGAGAATCTGCCTTTTTAAGAAGATGAAACCAGCAAATATTTGAAAATACTGGTCCATGTTTTCAGCACTGATATACTGTAAATAGACAAATATACCCATTAAAGTTTATTTTAGTATGAGACAATTATTTCTTCTTTTGGAAAAGTATGGATGTTTTAAATAATCACGCAATAACAGTTTATCGCTACTGCAAAAGAAGAATGTGTTTGCAGGTTTTTGTGTTGTTCTTGTGAAAGTGTAATTCAAGATGGAATTTGCTGAGTCAAGCAAACCTCAGGAAATAGGAAGAGGGAGGTCATGTCAGCCGAAAAGTTGCATGATTTTTTCAAGGTCCCCCTGTTGCAATGAGAGTCCAGAAGCTTGAGAGAAAAACCATGCAGCCGTAATGTTTGCAAGCTTTTTTTTTTTAACCTCACTTTCTGTTAATCATCTGTTTTAGATCATCACAAAGCTCCCAGGATGGTAACTGATATGCAGATGTTGGGCTAATTAGCCACATGCCATCTAGCTGAGCTGCTACAGAAGATCTGACAAGTATACCCCGAGCAAAAAAACCCCCAAAACAGCACTTTCTTTGTTTCTGTGTGACAGTCACTGAGGAAAAGACACATTTCCTTTTTAGAATTCTGGTTCAACAGTTTTTGTCTCAGACTCTGCACAGGGAGTTGTGGGTTGCTCCGTTTGGAACTGATCTGGAGAAGCTTTTGTGTCTTTTGCTGCTTATTTGTTTTACAACCAGTCAAACAGCTGGATTTGTGTTTGTGTTTCTAGTCGTGTTTGACAGGGAGTTGCTCGCCCACCCGTCGGCCGTTCCTGACCCGAAGGCTGCAGGCTCTCATGTTGAAGACATTTTCTTTTATTACTGCAAGAAATGAGTTTCTGAAAATGACATTTTTGTTCAACCTGCACATTGAAACTGTTTATTCTTCTTTTTCCTTTTCCAGAGACACTTCTTCAGGAATCTGGGCTCCATCATAACCTATGCGTTTCTTGGCACTGCCATCTCTTGTTTTGTTATTGGGTGAGCTTTCTGTTTATCAAATATCAGTTAAAACTTACAAACTTTATGAAATTAAATCCCTGTTGTTGTCTGTTGTTTGACTGGAACATGCTGTACGTTTTGCTGTCCCTCTTCACTGGGCATCCATCTACAGGAACCTGATGTACGGTGTGGTCAAGCTGATGCAGGTGGTCGGACAGCTGACGGACAAGTTCTACTACACCGACTGCCTTTTCTTTGGTGCTATCATTTCTGCCACAGACCCAGGTACGAGACACGCATGCAGACAAGAAAATGAGATGCAGTTTCTTTTCTTGCTGTTATGAGAATTTTTCCTTCATCTCTGTGTGCAGTGACGGTGTTGGCCATCTTTAATGAGCTCCACGCAGACGGGGATCTCTACGCTCTGCTGTTTGGAGAAAGTGTAATGAATGATGCAGTGGCCATCGTGCTCTCCTCGTGAGTCAGATTTCTGCTTTATCCAGCAGTAGAATGTAACTCAGTAGATTTACTCATGTACTGAAGTACAAATTAGAGGTTCTTATTTCATTTCATGCTACTTTATACTCCACTTAGTCTGACTCTTTGTATCTAGATTTTAGGTATAAATCTTCAGTTTCCATCCTGCATTTCATCTGCCTTTCTATGCCCCTTCAGTTATCTATGTGCTTCCATTTTTGAAATCCCCTTCACTATGGCAAACAACAACACAAACCTCAGAGCAGCAACCAAACTACATGTTGGAAATTTTTTCCCAGCTTGATTTTTTTGGGGTGAATTTTAATGACAGTGCTCCCCTTTTTACATGCAAATGTTCCATGAAAATAATTCACTCTGCACTATTTTGCTACCCAAAACGACTGTGTTTCGTTTGAAGAAATACAAACACAACTGAGCATTGCATTGTAAAATCAGGATTATTTGCAGTCAGACCATTCTCCAGAGCACTGTGGAGATAAGTCTGGCTATGTGAGACTATATTACAGAGGGAAATATTATACTATTTAATCCAAATTTAAAATGTAAAAAATACTGTTTTTGCATGCAAAACACATCAAGTGCTTATAACGTGGCTTTCTTATGAAGTAACAGTGGTGGAACTAGTGTTCAGATCCTTCGAGTAAAAGTACCAATACAAGGGTCAACCTGTGCAGAGATAAATGTGACTAAATCAGAATTCAAACTATGTATGTGCATTTTTTAACATATCCACTATATTACCACCTTCATCATCCATTAGCAACGTTTATTATAATGCAGCATTTTTGCAGATGTTGAAGAAAATCCTTCACCTAAGTGAAAGTAGCAATACAGCAATGTAGCTGTACTCAATTACAAGGAAAAGTCCTGCATGAAAAACCCTGTCATAGTAAAACTACACAAGTATTAGCAGCTGAATGTGGTCTAAGTGTATCGTATATGTATATTATGTTTGGCATCATTAGCTTATTAGTTGTGAGGCATCAGTGTGTCAGCAGCATGTTACTGTTGTAGCTGCTGCAGGTGGTGCTAGTTTGAACTATTTTATGTACAATTTTATATGCAAGGACAGTAAATAAATCTGTGGACTCATCACATGATTAATGTCAGAGGCGAGAAGGAAAAACAAACTTCTGATCCACAGATGTTTTCAGTTTTTCTCTAATCTTTGATTTTTGGCGAGACACTTAATCGTTGGAACGAGTATGGACATACAAGCATGTGAGAAGTTTAGAGGGAAAAAAATCACTATTTAGTGGAGCTGTTAACAACTACACAACTACACACTGCTTTCTGTTTGAAGCCTAAAAGGCTGGAAACCACAGGATCCATGTGTTGTATTTTAAAAGTTTGTTTTATTATTCATTGTGTAAAATCTTCGACCTAAAAGTAGCTTAAGCTGTCAGATAAATTTAGTGGAGTAGAAAGTACAATATTTTCCTCTGAAATGCAGTGGAGTGGAAGGATGAAGTAGCATGAAATGGAAATACTCAAGTAAAGTACAAGTACCTCAGAATTATCCTGAAGTACAGTAGTTTAGTACATACATTTACTTTCATCCACTGTGAAATGATGTATTCTTTCATGGCTCCAGTGTTTGAAATGTGAGGATTTGCGGATTTTCCTTCAAATCGACCTGATTATTTGATGTTTGGACTATTGCTTGGTCCATTGTTGGTCAACTGAATAATGATTAACTGCAGTCTTTTGCAAAACTTGAAAAATTTACCTGCACCTCAACCAACTAAAATACTGCTCACACAATAATGCGTGAGTGATAATAGTCAAGTAATGTAATGTAGAGCAACATACCAGTAACAACAGTCATTTTTCTGCATTGTCAGCCTTCACTTGTAATGCTTAAAGTACATTTCTTGATTATATTTGAATATTTATATTTACCTCAGTTATACATAAAATGCAGCACTGTTGTAATAGATTATAATCAGAGTGTGGTATAAATACTTTTACTTAAGTAAAGGCTGTACATATTTCCACCATACATTTGATCCCGCTGCATAACACAAATCTAGCTGTGTGCTTTCTGAGCCCCTTTTTTGGGGTCTCGTTGAAATTCAACGCTGACATGTGAGACAGCAGCACGGCTTTGCATCACTGCTCCTCTTGACAGACAGATGGACAGACACACGGCGCTCTGCCTCCCTCTGCTGGGAGATTATAAATCACCTACTTCTACAGAGATTTAAAGACGAACAGATTTAGTCTGTTTTGGTACATGTATAAACATATCGAGAAATATTCCACACAGAGACAGATTTAATTACCAAAAAACCTAAAGTAGGAATGTAGGAAATGAGTTAAATTCATGACATAACACCATGACTCTTTTTCTTTTTTTTTTTTTTTTTTTTTTTTTTTTTTTTCATTTTTTGTATTTCAGGTCTATTGTGGCCTACCAGCCCAGTGGTGCAAACACACACATGTTCGACGCTTCTGCCTTTTTCAAGTCGGTGGGCGTTTTTCTGGGTATTTTCAGCGGCTCCTTCCTGATGGGTGCAGCCACAGGAGTCGTGACCGCCCTCATATCCTTCTCTGTGTACATAATTTAAAATTAAATTAGAGTTTAATTCCCAGACTGATTTGTTTCTTGCAGCAGTTACTGTGTTTATAGCTGTAGGTAATGAAGATACAAAGCTACATTGTTCCTTAGCCGAACTCCTACGTCACCAAGTTCACCAAACTGCACTGCTTCCCACTGCTGGAGACGGCCCTCTTCTTCCTCATGTCCTGGAGCACCTTCCTACTGGCTGAGGCCTGCGGGTTCACAGGTGAGCTGTGTCAGGTTTACAGTGGGGAGGGAATCTGGGAAGGAGACATTCGATATGTGTGGTCAGAACGCTAAGAGAAGCCTGCATGTTCAGCATCTGTTGGACTTCGGTGTGACCTAAATCTACGACGTAAACTAGGTAAAAGATAACCAAGGTGTACTGTCATATCACACGTAATTAAAGGTCCTGGGAGCTCGGGACGATTTATTTCTTTTGCTAAAAATGACAAAAGGGATAAAAATGTGGGAAAAAGTGAATCTTTTTGTCAGACAGCACAACCTATATTCAGCTTTTTCATGTATTACCTTTATTATTCTCTATTCGTTTGTCATCTTTTGAATTCGTAATAAGTTTTTGCACCTAAATTTTTCACTGCATACATTTGTTTTGTATATGATAGAATGATATCGTAGTTCATTGTGTAAAATCCAGTGAGTGAGTGAGTGAGTGTAGAGTTAAAGCCTAAAAATAAAAAGCCAAAGCTCCAAGATAGATAGATAGATAGATGGACAGATAGATAGATAGATCTGGTACAACAGCTATTCCAGTGCCAGGGACTTGGAGCAAAATAATAAATATATGCAAAATGAAACGTATATAGTATAGAAAAATCTGCATCGAGCATGATGTTGAAAGTCTGTAATGTTAACCATATACGGTGAGCAAAATGTGTGAAAAACAAAATCTGTTTTTCCAACAGGAACTTTAGTCTGGTTGCACAATACATTTCTTTAGCATCAACATTGCAACGTGCTTAGTAGTCACATTGCACTTCCTGCAAATTGCAGACAATGGAAAGATGACGAAACAAAAAATTGTAAAAACACATGATACAAAAAGAAAACTTGCACACTTCTCATTTTCCAGATCTAATCGACCAGAGAAGTGTGTCTTGTATGTGGTTTTCAATGTTTTATTTACGAGTTTGTTGACTTGGATGCTCTACATGGGCTCAGCAAAATGAGCAACAGAAGAGACACATTGAAATGGAAGATTTGGCTGCAAAAAGAAACATACGGAGCTCTGGTAGGGACATATAGAGAAAGGAAAAAAAAAAAAACAGCGAGAGGAAAAAGAAATAGAGTTATCTTTTGCAAGATCTCGTAAAAACTTTTGTGAGATCTTGCAAAAGTCACATCAGTGTTATTGGACGTTTTGTGAAAACTGTGCCTCTTGCTAAGCACTGCTTGAATGTCTTTATATTTTAGGCCAATTTCAAAATAAAACTCAATAAAACTCTCGTACAAGTGGGTATCCTCCATTGTCATTTCTCCATCCTGCCAAAAAGACCTAGAAGTATATATACCATCAAGGTGTTCCCTACATAGTTCACTGCATAGTTCACTATATAGTGAGTAGGTTGTAGGTAGTAGGGAGTGAGTGGATGATTTTGGACACAACCCTATAGTTTTGTGAGATCGCACAAAAGGTATTGCAAGATCCCACGAAAGTTTTGCAAGATCTCACAAAAGATGCCTCTATATTTTTTTTCTCTCCCTGCTTTTTCATTTTCTCCATGTCCCTTCAGGGGCTCAGTAGAAACACAGTGTCAGTTGTGTTCAATTATTTCAGCTACAGAAAGGATGTAAACCAAAAACAACTACTCTGTCAGCAGTATCTTGCAATTGTTGCCTCTACATGAGGCAACACAACTGATGTGATCGTTTAAATCAACATCACAAAACGCTGTGCTATGACTGCAAACACAGATCTGAATGCCATCCAAAGCAAAAAAACCCTATTTTCCTTTGTCATTGTTTAACCATATGAGAACGTTTCTTGAAAGCTTACACTTTTCTTCTGTCTTCACAGTAAAAAAAAAAGAATTTTTAAAAAAAACTTTTTAAAACTTATTTATTTTCAATGCTGATGCACACCTACAAAATCACCCCAATTAATCTGAAATATATATATTTTTTCAAATATTTATTAGAGTCATCTGTTGAAAATCCCAGTATTTTCTGCTCATCATAATATATATTGCAGAAAAACTAAACACTCCAATGTCAGTATATTGTGCAGCCCTTAACTTTAGTGACGTTACCAAGACTGAGTGTTTTAATTCCAAGCTCACATAGTGTTGATTGTGCTGAAACTCATAATAATGAGCAGTTTAAACAAAGTGCTGCTACACCATCCGCACAGAGCTAAATCTGTCTGTAATACAAATGAAATGTGACAGGGACTTAAATACAGATTATGCAGCAGATGTGCAGCAGATGAAATTAACAGATAATATACTGCGCCGTAGCGAAGCAATAAGAGGACTGAAAATTGGTTTGGTTTGAAGTTTCTTGCGAATTGAAATTACACAGCCGGCCTGTGTGATGCAGTCCGCCTGCTGAAGTCGCTGTATTAAACCTATGAATGTGTGTTTGTATTGTCATCCAGGCGTCGTGGCCGTGCTGTTTTGTGGCATCACGCAGGCTCACTACACCTACAACAACCTCTCAGAGGAGTCCACGAAACGCACCAAGCAGGTAGAATCCAATTCTTTCGCATGCCACCTCTTTTATTTTTGGACAGTTCTGAACCCCCTGATAGTGTAAGCTGGGTGCGGGTGCCAGATGGCGCCATGATCAGCCTGCTGTGACCTTAATCGGGGCTGTCTGAGGACATCCCTCCTGACGTGACTGTTCAGTTCCCCAGAGGGGGTTCAGTCTTGAGGACATTGTGCAGATTAGCACGTAGACAGCATGCAGCGTGACACATTTTGGATCAGGATACCGGCAGCCTCCTGTTATTCGGTTTCAATGAAAGCTACAGACACAGTGCAGTAGCAAGGTTAATGTACGTCGCTTAGATTAAGACAGAAGTGGTGACACTTCTTCCTCTCAACACTCTGGTTTTATTTGTCACCTTGTTGGTGTGTTTGCCCTTGTCCTCTACCTCAGAGCAGTGTAGATGTAGCCTCTGTAATCATCATGGCAGCCAGAGAGTCTGCAACTCTGTCTGGGAGAGAAAAACAACTGCTTCCATCAATTTTCTGATTTTAGCTCAGAGAACCAGGACTTTTGTTAACTGAAACTCCTAAAGGTGCAATATGCAAGGTGCATATGAAGTCACACTCCCTCTGTGTGTCCTGTAATGCATCTCCTCTGTTCAAAGCATGGAGTGTATATAAAAGATGTACGTAACCATTGAGTCTAAAAAGTGACACCAACATAAAAGTGCCTTAAACCTGAATTCTTTCTAACAGCCAGCAGGGAAGAAGGCTGATTATACAGAAGTTTATGAAAAAGTAATCCTGCTTCTGTCTCTATCTGTTAACTCAGTAAACATTTTCCTTATGAGTTTATGGTCTCAGTCACTAGTTTCAAGACTTTTTGAATGTAGCATGATGTTCATTTTGCAAATTATGGTCCCATTTAGAGCAAAATAGACAATAAACAGAGTATGTTTGAGGCTGTGTGATTGATGAGTCGCCAACATATCACCAGTGTTTCAGGTTCTCCAGTCAGATGTGCTGCTCAGTCATTATATCTGGTTTCAAAAGACCAACATGTCGACAGCTAAATTCGAAACTCGGAGCTTCAAAAGTAGTCCACATACCAATGGGGGACATCACTGTCTATGGTTTGTGACTGCCAACATCATATTTTAAAAATGCAAGTGCAGTCCAGCATTCAACAAGTGCCCAAAAAACTAAAGAATTTAAAGCATTTTATTTATGTTCTTTATGTGTACTGGTTTCATTACAGCTCAGTTTGAGTCTCTGCTGCTGTTTTGAACCTCTCTACTGCTTCTCCTTTTCTACTTGTGTTTCTTTTACTCTGGTCTTTGTGTGTCTGTTTTCACAGAAGTTTGCGGCGCTCTGATTAGCTGCTGAAACAGACAAACACTGGGACGGGTCAGACATGATTGGAGAGCCATTCGATGTATTATATAATGCTAGCGTGGGCTAATGGTTGTAACTGGATTATTTTTGTGCACACAGCCTCTCTGGTTATAAATAAAAGTGAAGAGAAGGGGGAGGTTTGGCAGACGTGCTTGTTTTTTTTGTTGTTTTTTTTTTGGTCTAGGATGCTCGACATCCAGAAGCTCACCTTGAGACTTTTTAAGGACTTTATTTACATATTTCAAAACTGAAATCGTATGATATTTTGTTTGCAGCTCTTTGAGGTGCTTCACTTCCTGGCTGAGAACTTCATCTTCTCCTACATGGGCTTGGCTCTGTTCACCTTCCAGAATCACATTTTCAGCCCCATCTTCATCATCGGAGCCTTTGTATCCTTTCAGTGCACAACAAGCAGGAATTTTTTTTGTTTCCAGTCTGGAATATTCCTGTCACACATTCCTTTTCCACAGCTGCATAAGTGTGCCATAGCTGATGACTTAGGGATGTCTCTGTAGACAGGCCACAGTGGATCCCACTGGAGAGTTTTTGTCATTAACCTACAAACAGATCATTCTAGGAAAGATGTTTTATCTCTTATGTGGATCAGGGCAACCCACTACAGCAGCGTACTGCAGCCGTACCAGAAAAAGAAAAACACATCAGTATCATGTTTTAACATAAAAAGTTTATTCTTACAAGACAATACTTTTAACTTTATAATGAAACACAACTTACCATGTTATGACAAGAGACTTTTCTTACCATTTATTATGTGAAGCTTGAGACATGGTGAGAACCTGCTGTCACTGAGCATGATGGATGATATTGTAATAAATCAAGCATCCATGAGAAATGATTCTACCTCCAGAGGGTCAGACTCATTCTTCTCTTCTGTACAGCGTCGTGCATTTTAAAATCTGTCTTTATGTTTGCGTACTTCTCAAAATGTCATCCATCGTGCTCAGTAACAGCTGGACTTTGCCTTGTTTTAACCCAAGTATGAAGTTAAATCTAATCAAATGGTGCAAATAAGCCAGTTTCCTTAGTTTAGTGCACAATTTCATGTTACAACAGTATTAGTTATCATGTTATAACGTGACTAATTTCACAAAATGTAAAGAAGAATGGTATGTTGCTATAACAGATAAGTTTCTTGTTTTAATGTGATCAGTTTGTATGTTGTAGTAACATGAAAATCTCTTGTTGTAACCTAAAAACTACCCTGTTGTAACAAACTTTTCATAGTATAATATGTCATAATATATAATATGTGAAACTTTTTTTTAAAACTAGTGTTTTAGCAATATATTCTGTAAATATCTCCCTGAATTTCTCAAGCTTTAAACTGTTCACTCAAAAATTTCTTCACCAATCTGTCAGATGGCCATATTCATTGGACGAGCTCTGAACATTTACCCGCTGTCCTTCCTTCTCAACCTCGGCCGAAGGCACAAGATCAAGGGAAACTTCCAGCACATGATGATGTTTGCAGGTATGAAAAAACCAACCTTGTTTACCTGTATTCTCACTCACCCTGTCAGGCTCCGTGTGAGGATGTGATGATCTTTGAACGTCACTCTCTGCAGGTCTACGTGGGGCGATGGCGTTCGCCCTGGCCATCCGGGACACGGCTACCTACGCCCGCCAGATGATGTTCACCACCACGCTGCTCATCGTCTTCTTCACTGTGTGGGTGTTCGGTGGGGGAACCACGCCGATGCTGTCCTGGCTTCACATCAGGTAACAAAATCATTTCCTAACCTAAGAAGCTAAGATAAGATAACCTTTACTGATCCCTCACTGGGGGAAATTCACAAGTTACAGACAAAATAAAGTTGTAAAAAAGACTATATACACATCTCACATGTACAGATATGGCATGATGGGAAATGTACCCAATTGTGGGGCACATTTGGTTATTGTGCTGGATAAGTTATAGATAAAATCCCAAGTTCACACAAGTTGAAACTATATTTATATTGGTAATAGAGTTAATTTCTCAAATGGCAAAAATAGCTAAAATATCAAAGGATTATATTAGAATTCTACATTTACCAAAGATCAGGGATAAATCAAACATCAAAAATGAACCTTGGTTACACACAGCATGAAGAGCTTTCTAAACTGTACTTACTACTCTTACTTGATTGTTTGCATGTATGGTCTTTTAAGGTCTGATGCATCTTTACGAGAGTTTATAGATGAATGAATGTTTAAAATGGTCTTGTTTGGTTTTGTCACTTGTAGATCAGAATTATATCCTGTTGTACTTCCATCTAAAGCCCTTCTCAGATCTTTTCTTAAAGTTAAATAACAGTCAAAACATTGTCAGGTTTGTGGAGCAACCAAGACAAAAGCACATATACCCTCCAAATGCTTAAAATGCAGAATTGATGTATTTGTTGAAAATGTAGTCAAAACCAGTTTTTGAATTAATTCATTCAACCTTTTTCAAATTTGGACAGACACTGAGGAAAAGGCCTCATTTACTAATATAAATATCAACATAGGTAAGCAAAGGTCAAATGAACAGAAAATGAAAGCGTACAAATAGAAATTTAGACAAAAATCGACAATAACTAAGGGCAGAGTAGTAAGATAATAAATCCATTAAGAATAAATTGAGCAAGTAAGATTTTAGACAAAGTGAGTCAACTGAAAAAAGAGTAGCTGGAAGTGAGAAAAGACAAAATTAAAGACTTTCATTGCCCAAAGAATAAAAAGGATGTGAGATTGATCTGCAGGTCGTTCCAGGTTTCAGCTGCACAGTGCGCAAAGAACTTCAGTAAAAACAGTCGATATCTGCAGCATAATCTAATCATTTAGTTGTGTTCAATGGGACCTAAATTAAAAGGCAACAGAGAAGCCGTGTAAGGATGTAAAAAGAAACGTAATGGCCTCATAAATAAATAAATACAAATATTGCCAATTAGGCCTTACAGAGAGCAAGCATCACCCAGCCTCAGCATGCAACGCACAGTGACGCAAGTTTTTATTATTGATTTGTAAATCTACATCCAGAGAGATAAAGAAGCATCCCTGCAGATGATGTCATCATAATAATGATACTGATAAAAAAAAAAGTTGCCTCAATCAGTGTCCTACTTCTGTGCATATATTTAATTTAACATGATTTGCCTCGAAAAGAGTTTTTATTTGCCCACCAGTTTATTCACCTGGTATTCAAAAGCCACCATCCATTCATTCAAATTCCAAGTTACTTGTACTCCATAATTCCTTCAATATTTGTACCATTCTTGGTCGAGATGACAGAGTCATTCTAATCAGTATTTTTGACTCTTGGCATGTGTCTCTTAAATCAGAAATACCATTCAATAAAAATGTACTGTATAATTTCTGTGTAAGCAGCATTACAATTTGCAGAAACTACACAACAGAGGTACAGTTACTGTGGTTTGGTGGCCTCTGAGCTCCACAACTGTCTGTCACAGTTACTGCGCAGCTGACAAACTACTGCAGCTGAAGTGAGAGAGGTGAAAGTGAGCAAGTGAAATAACCTCAATTAACCTTCTATAAAAAAAAAATTATGTAAAAGATGTCATGAAAAGGGAAGTGAGAGCTGGCTAGTGGTGAGAAAGCTAAACTTAGAAGTAACTTAGAATAAATAAATAAGTAAATGTTTCTTAGCAGGTTAGCTGTAGTCAGTGAATTAAAAAATATATTTTAATGAGCAGATGTTTCATAAATTCATGTGGCAGAATCTAAATATGGTCAGATGGAAGAAAAGTGATTTTGTAGGTTGGCAGCAACAAACAATTTGGGTGGAATTAATGTAATTTGTTTTGGCGAATCTACATTTGAATCACACATTTGTAATGAATTGTGAATTCTAAATCAATATGTAAAGACCAAGGACATACAGACAGCAAATGAAAACAGGGATATATTCAGAGGTGGAAAAAGTACTCAGCTCTTGTACCAAGACCACAGTGAGGTGAAACTCATGCATTTAAATTTGTAGTTCCAAACGTACAATAGTATGAGCATCAAAATATACTCTGGGCGTCCTCTCTCAAGAAATTTTAAGCATGTAGCAGTTGACATCCTGCAATTTGGTTAATTTTAATGCACTAGTTTGTACCTCTTCTGCATCAATTTGTGGTGGAACTGTCTTCATTCATGTAAAAGGGCAAATGCACATGTTGCAGTGATTGAGGAGATGTATCCTTTGCATCCACACTGAAATCTACACCCATGTACTTAAATACAGTACTTGAGTATGTGTACTTTTCACCACTTGATACAGTGAAGATCAGTTTCTACAAGAAACCGATATAAGTAGAGACGAGATAGTTATCTGAGAAGTTCTATGGCAATTATTTTAAATATCTGGGCATAAAAAACAAGGAAAAAACATAAATTGAAGGCATTAAAAGCGTTTGTAGCTGAGTTTGCCAGCTTCCCTGGAAACTTAAAATGCTTCTCAACTTGGCTGCAACAGTGAATCAATTAGTTGTCAACTATTAAATAAATCTTCAGATATTCTGATAATTGAATCATCATTTTGAGTAGATTTTTAAGAATAAAAGCCAAAATTGTTTGATTTTCTTACTCATCTATGACAGTAAACTGAATATGTTTGGGTTGTGGACGAAACATCACATTTGAGGAACACTGAACACCAAATAACTAATAAGTTAATCAAGACAATAGTCAAAATATTAATTAGTTGAAGCATCATTCTGCAATTTTGCTTTCCTTATATGCAGCAGTTTCAATAAAGCAGAGCTACTTTCTACTACAATCAGTTAACTTGAATAAGCTGATCATGTGCTGCCTGGTGGGATTGTCCAGGAGATGGGGCCAGAGTTCTCCACTGTTGCTCATGTTCCATCTCCTGGTTCTTCCATGTAGAACCGCTGGGACTATTGTTGCTTTCACTGCAGTGTCTACTATAGGAGGCACTACAGGATCTGCACTGCCTCACTGATCTCTTGAGCCAGAAGTGACACTGACTCTAATCACCAGGCTGCCACCAAGAGCTCGACATGTTGCTGCCGCCGCTGCAGTAATTTGGTTTTGCTGCTGTCTGTCCGTGTCGAGCTCAGCCTCACTTGTTGTGTGACCGTGATGCACTGAGAGCTGCTATTTGTCATGATAAAGCGGATTATGTGCTGATGCTGTGTGTGTATGTGTGTGAGTGAACAGACTCTGCTTAATATGAGTAATGCCTCCTCGGACTGAGCAGGAACTATTGTGTTCGGTGGAGGTTTAGAGCGCTGCCAAAATATCCCCGTGAACTCGTTGCCACGGTAACCGGGACACGTTGTGCATGGCAGGTGGAAGTCGGCCATGTACGGCTAGCCGGGTTAACTTTTAAACAGCTGAGTCTGACTTCCTGGAATGAATGTTACAGATACATATGATGCAATTTTGGCTATTGTAGTTTAATTGAATTGACTGAAATTATTTGACTTGAACTGATTTGAATTAAAATAACCTTATTGTTATATACATGTATATGCATTATATTATTCAGGTGAAACTCAAAAAAATCAAAACATTGTGAAAAGCAATTATGTAGTTTAAAACAGTAAGCTTTAAAGTGTTATATCACATTTTATGTAATATAATTTAACAATATTTGAGTCTTTTTTTGGTTTTAATTTTATTTGAATAGTAATTTGCTCAAACTCAAATTAAATATTCTAAAAACTTGAGATACTGGATTCCACAGGCCATGTCTCCAGAAGGTAAGGTCTTTGTCCCTGTGTGCATTTGCAAACTGTAATCTGCCTTTTTTATTTTGCTTTTGGAGTAATGGCTTCTTCCTCTCTGAGTAGCCTTTCAGCCCATGTTGGTAAAGGACTCGTTTCACTGTGGGTTTGTCCATGACGTCATCATCTGGGCTTTCCCAAATAGATTCCAGGCATAGTAATCATACTGTATGTAAACTTCTGACTTTGAAGAAAGCAGAAAAAAAATCTCTAAAAAATTCTCTCTCTCAATGTTTTGGCATTTAACAAACAGAAATAATTTTGGTAATCCTAATTGACGTGCAACAGGAAAACTTTAGTCTGATTTAATGTCAGACAGTGAGAAAAAAAGGTTATGTGCCTTTTTATACAGCATATGTAAACTTCTGGTTTTAACTGTGCATAATTCTTCCTTGACAAAAAGAACATTTCAGATATCCACATCATCATCCTTCCAGGACAAATGACACCATTTCCCATTCATATCTATGGCAGTAAGGGAATTATGACGAGTTCAGGTATATACGGTTGAATTATATCTTTGATCAAACAGTCTACATTGCTCTTTTTAGATTTTTTAAATTAAGTTTTTTATCTAGTCGTAGCAACATTGTAGATGTCTTGAACTTGTGTTCTGCCTTGCCAAATGTAATTCAAAATACCCTGGGTTACAGTTTTGACTTGTCAAAATGACGTTGCAGATATCTGTAATAATGGTTATACCGGATAGTTAAATGTTAAAATGACTTGCTATAATTATGACATGTCAGAATTAAACTGTAGATATGTGAAACTGCAATTAATATTCGTCATAATTCAAATGTAGATATCTGTAATGAGAAGCCCCACGCACATAAATGGTAGAAATGCCGTGTTTTCTCTTTTAAAGAATGTCATAGTGGAGATGGGAATGTTCTTTTTGGATTAAATTACAGTTATCTGCAATACTTCGCCAGTCTAGCTATTACTGTAAATGTTAAAATTGCTTTTCTGATCTTGGTATCACCCTCTTTAGTGTTATGT